GCCCGCCTCGGCCTTCCGGCCGCCCCCGCCGGGCCTCGTCCCGCTCGCTGCCTGCTGCCCTCCGGGACCCCTGGCTCCCACGAGTGAAGGCCGGCGGGTGTCTTCTTTACTCTCACACAGGCGACGCTCCATCGCGCGCCTCTGTCCGCCGCACTGAGCGCGGACCCTGCGCGCTCTCCACAGGCCTGGCGGCCGAGGGTCGGGAGCGTCTCCTTCTCCACAGTCCCCGTGTATCCGTATGAAAAGAAAGCGGACCCGAAAGAACCACTGTTGCCGAGGAACAGGTGAACGCGGGGCCAGAGCGAGGAGGAGGCAGAGCGGGCGAGGTGAGGGCCGCCTTCCACGCGTGTCATCCGGGGACGCGAAGTTAGCAGGGCGCTGTCTCAGACACTGCCGTTTAAAGAGGGCGTTGGGTGGAGCTCGGGTAGAGTGCTCGGCTGGCCTGGCGTGCACAGTCCCCGGTACCGAGAACAGCTGTGTGCGGCTTTGGGCCATTGACTTCCTCTGGAGGGAGCCAGCTTCCGGGCGGAAGCTCCGGGGTCTCCGTCTGTGCCCTGTTCCCCGGAAAACGAAGTGCTGTTTCCTATTTCTTGGGGTCTGGAGTGGTAAAATAGTAATGCCTCAGGACACTTAGAACAAAGTCGAACAGGAAACGCTCGGTACTGGTTTCTTTTGTTATTTTTGTTTTTACTGCCTGGGAATCTGTCCTTAAGTAATTTAGCACTAGGCTTCACTCCTTGCCTTCGAGCTTGCCTTTCCCCGTGCTGCCTCTCCTGCGCATCTGCCCCTCTGCCTCCACCGTCCCACTCTGTGTCATCAAGAAATACACTGCCAGCATAAGGACCCGTACATTTGCTTGATTGCTTTTAATTTCTTTTTTAAAAGGAAAGGTTTCTGTGATGATGGTTTCTATAGTCAATACATTTACATAAATTATGGAATTACAGAATATTAAATTGCAGAAAAGGTTTATTTTCCCAAAGGAACTTTATCAGGCACACTTAGTGGTTTTTAGAAAAGCTCAATACAAGGATTTATATGCTGTCCTCCAATGTTAAACTTTTATGAAGCAAAATTCCTCTGAGTAATTTATTATTGGGAGAGGCAGCACACAGTGCTTGTGTTCTGACCCTAATGCTCGTGTCCTCATAGTATTCTGACGCTATCATTACAGCAACATGAATTCATATCCAATTATTCGCAATTGCATGTGGCCATGCCTTTTTCCTGTAAGAGTTCGGTTTACTTAAAAGTACATCACTTTCATTTGTGGGACATCTAGAAATCACCCTCACTAAGTGGGTATGCAGAAGGAACTTAGCATTCCTGGCCAGCACCCCGGAATGGAGGAGCCAGTCCATTAACACAGTGCTGTTAGCTCAGAGCAGGAACAATTAAAAGGACCAAAGTCAAAAGATGACAACTTTTAAATCTGTGCCCTGCAAGGAAGTATATACTTTTTAACCTTATACAATTGCTGTGAATCATTTATTGCACAGAGGCTTTTAAAGATGGATCAACCACTGCAGTGTCTGGACTCCTCTGTACAGATCACTATTTGTGTGTATCAGGAGACTCTGGAGACAAAGCTAATTCCCAATGGAAGTAATCAAGCTGCGATTTAAGTCTTCAAACAGTAATTCAGTTGTGGCAAGGCATTGAGTTTCATTTTGGTTCAAGTTAACGTGTCAGTGATCTAAATAACTATGTCAATATAATTAGAATATTTTGCCTTTTGTTATGAAAAGAGCTTTCTCTCACCCCCTTTGTGTTGCAGGTGGAAAGCAGATAGTGTAGGTGAATATTCATTTTCTTTCCAGGATGATGTTGCTCCTCCAGGTATACTGACCATGCTCCCCAATCTCTAGTCTGGGATTGTCGTCTTTTTCCTTGCTTCGCTGTCACTTTCTGCATCAGAGTACCCCCATCTCCCTATCTCCCTAAAACTTCCTAAACTAAATGTGAAGAAAACCATAGTGCTTTTTAGTGGGACTTTCACTAGGTGGCCAGTGGAATGTAGCACTGCTAATTTGCCTCTCCTTTCCCACCCCACAGCCTCACTGCAGATCTGGAGCTCTGCTCTGCAGTGGCCCCAGCTTCTAGCTGTGCATCAGCCTAGGCCTCCTATTTAATGCCCCAGGGCCTCCTGAGGTGATGAGATCCTGTGAGGAGCTGGGCAGGAAGTAACACTACGCATGGCCATGTGATAGGACAGGTACGTAATACAGAAACTCAGTGTGGGAAATGAAAGAGGACAACAACACCAGTTACCTGGTGTGAAAACCAGAACCAGCCAGTCAGGTTCTACTGAAGTAGGACAAAGCTTTTTCTACGTTGCTTTCTAGCTTATAGTATATAGTTTAGCATCTTTACAGAAAACAAATTCAATGATTAGTGAAAACCTTCTTACAGAACACTTAAGTAAGCAGCCATTGTATTGCATGCTACTGATTAGGTATTACTTTCCTTGAGGGTGTTCTGACGCATACGTCAGCCAAAAGGCCAAGTGACTTCATTCTTCCCAAAATAGCAGTTTCTCAACCTGACACACCCTGGAATGTATTATTGTGGCTTCAGTGGACTGTGTAGTGGCAAATTTGTCATAAGATGTTTTACAGAAAATAATGTCCTTATTAAAATATTAAGTATAAATTATACCTAATTACAGATTTTGACATACACAGAAACTTATAAATACATTTGTACAATTTAATATACTTCTACATTTCTCTTTTGTATAATTCTATATAAATACATAATTCATGACTTTATATATTATGTACAATTGTATTGCATATGTAAATTTTAAGTTACATTTTAAGTTTCCCAGGTTTAGTTCAAACTCTTTTTCCCTGTGTTACTTATTTAGTTAAAATACTATTTCTTAAGTATTAAACTTCTGGAGAGGCTGATGGACCAAGAATAAAGTAAATAAAGTTTTCATGGATCTAAAGAGCAAGTAAACATCTATGTAAGTAAGGGTGAGAGTTAACAGGCAAGTTCTCACACTGCTAGTGGACATGTATATCACTATATTTTTTTCTGGAAATTGATTTGGTCTTTACATCAAACACCTTAAAGTTGTGAACACCTATTCATGTAAGATGTCCACTTCTCAGGTTTCATCATAAGAAAAATGAGATGAAATTATAAATCTACACACTTACCGATTTTCACTCTAGAAATACATTAATATAAGAAATTACACAAAGAAGGGTTTAATTAATTATACAGTGGTATGTAGGTAAAATAAATGCTTTGAAAGAGTATGCAGATTACATATTCTAATTTGGGAAATGTGTTCATGTATTTGGCAAAAGGTCAGATTAGAAATATTTATATTATGAACCATTTATATTTTTAAAATAAAAATCCATACATGTGTATATGTTTCTGGGTTTGTGTGTGTGAGCATTTGATACATGAAAAAGTCTACATTTATAGCATTGTTCAACAGATTTCTGATAAAATATTCTGTCTGTACTATCCAGTATATCCTTTGGTTGTAGAATACTTGAAGTGTGGTTAGTTAACCTAAGGAATTGAATTTTTAACATAACACTGGGCCCAGCTGACCCATCCCATACTTTTCTACTGTAAATTTGTACTTTAGCATAATAGTAGCAGGCTACATCTCAGTACTTACCCTTCTGGATACAGGAAACAATCTATGTGTTTACCCACTTGGTGTGATAAACAGGTGTATGCACGTGTGCAAAAGTGGCAAAAACGGGATCCACCTTTATTCTCCATGGAACAGTTTTTGCATGTGTTTATCCAAGCATCACAGAGGGTCCAAAAGACTCGCACCACTCCAGAATTTGTTAAAAATGTTTTTTCTTTTGATTTTTTTGGTAAAAGTAGCCCAGTGTAGCCCAGAGTAATACAATGGCATATGAAAAACCAGATTTGCAAGTTTTCCAGGTCAAAAGTGAATCATCAGATTATTTGTGCATGGATGATGACAGTGATCCATTATGGTAAAATACCTGCTTTCATAGCAGAAGAGTGATGTGGGTGGATGATGATGATGGTGACACCTTTGACATTGGCCCTGTGAGCCAAAGTTCCTGTGACAGTGAAATGGAGCAAGAATCTACTATTACCAACACAGGGAATGCAGATCACCATGTTTCAGATGACTAAGAAAACAACATAAGTACATATTTTACTAGTCAAAATGTTGCAAAATGGCCATGCAACCAGATGGAATAATCCAATGTTAGAACTAGGTTTGAAAATACAGGGAGAGTCTTGGCAGGGGTGAAAGAATTGGACAGAATGCGAACACTGCTATTCACTGTTAGGAACTGTAAAAGATGCAATGCCACAGGATGCTGTGAAATACACAAAGGCTGAAATACAAGTAAAAGGTTCTGTATGCACCAACAGCCATATTTAAAAATGTATTATTATGATGCCTCACTAACTGAACTGAAAGCATTCATAGGTCTGCTATGCTTAGCAGGGATTTCTCATGGTAATTGCAGGAAAGTAAAAGACTTTCAGAAAAGTGATAGGTCAAAATATGGCATAAAAACTTATGCCCAGGTAGATGCAAAGACTTACTATGCTCTCAGTTTAGACATTTATCCTGGAACTCAGCTATCAGTTCCTTATTCATGTAGTAATAAGCCAAATGATGTCAACAGACTTGTTGCTACCATCTCCCATACTAATTGGAATGTGACATTCAACAATTGGTTTACCCATTTCCGATTTATGTTACATTTGCTAACAGAGCACAAGTTGACCAGCATAAGAACTATACAGAAAAACATGGACAGAAATTCCAAATGAAATGTTGCAATTTTAAAACAATTCTATAGTACAAGCTTTGGGTTTCAGAAAGATATAACATTGGCCTCATATACGGCAAAGAAAAACAAATCGGTACTGCCAATATCAACATTTCACCATGATAGAAATATTGAAAGGGAAACTTCGACAAAATGGAAGCCTGAGATGATAACTTTCTACAACCAAACCAAAGGTGGAGTAGATGTTGTTGATAAGTAATGCAGCAACTGTGATGTTACTAGAAACACAAAGTATTGGCTAATAGTTGTGTTTTGCTCAACACTAAATGTGTGGCATAAATACTTCGATAGTTTTCAAAGAACATAACAAGTGCAAAATACCATGGAAGAATTTTCTTAGAGGGTTGGGACTGGAGCTCATAAGAGATCGTGTAAGCAGAGAAAAAAATAAAATGTTTCTGCCCAGGGATCTACACAAATTGTGGAGCACACTGGTGAGCTGACAGGTGAACAGGCAGGCACAGCATCACAAAGACCTACTAAAACAACAGGCAAACAGAAAAGATGTCAGTTGTGCCCTACAAGAAAGGACAGGAAAAGAACATGTGCTATCAATGTAAGTGATACTTGTGTATGGATCATGCAGTTGCCATGTGTGAAGACTGCCTTGGTTGTGACAGTTGAAGCACAGCATATTTCTGCAGTAGACTTTTGTTTGTGTTTGCTCTGTAGTTCATAGGCTTTTATTTTTGATGTTATCTTTTAGGTTTTGTAAGCAAGTGAACAACTAATGTCTATTCTAAGCATTCATTACATATTTGATACTTTATTTTATTGATATATTATTTCCCTGCTAAGTGTACCTTTTATAATATAGTAGGAAGTTTCTCATGAGACAAGAGGAGAGGTGACAAGACTGCCACATAGGAAAGAAAAGCTAAGCACATGTGCTATCAGTGTAAGCAGAACGTGTGTATGGAACATGCAGTTGTCGTGTGTGAAGACTGCCTTGGGTGTGACAGTTAAAGCAAAGCTTATTTTTGAGGTAGAGTTTTATTGGTATCTTCATTGTAGTTCATGTAGGAATTTATTTCTGAATGTTGTCTTTTAGGTTTTGTAAACAAGCACCCAGCAGATGTGAAAATGTTGATGTCTATTCTAAATGCACAACACATATTAAGAATTTAATACTTTATTTCATTGATATTTTGTGTTCCCATTAACTACACACTGCATAATATAAGAACCTCCTCATAAAACAGCAAGACCAATGAGATGTCAAGTATGTCCTACAGAAAGGTCAAAAAAGCAAAACATGTGTTGCCATGTAAGCAGTGCATGAGTATGGAACATGTTGCTTTCACATGTGTAGACTGCCTTAAGTATGATAATTGAAGTAAAGATTCTTTTGTAGAATAGTATTGGTATTTTCATTGTAGTTCATATCAAAATTTATTTTTGTCCTTTTTTAGACTTCTGTACACCAAAAAACCATTGATGTTGAAAATTTTTATGCTCTTTTAAAACACTCAGTAAATATTAAAAATTCAGTATTTTATTTTTGTGAATTTTTTGTTAAGTATGCATTGTTTTATAAAACTCATAAAATTAAAATTAATAATTCTAAAGAATAGAATTAATGATTCTAAAGAATATTTCTATCCAACTCACATTTCTGTGCCTTTCTGAAAAATTACTGTTGTACTCCACATTAAGTTAAATTCAAATGCCACATAAGGCTATGGCTACCACAGTGAGCAGCACAGATCAGGAAGACTATATGCCTTGACGTTAGCTGTGGTTGTGCTTTACTCGTGCTTATTTTCTTCTTAGCCTGCCTTACACACTTGGTAAGAAAGGCATAAGATTTCTTTTCTGAGGAGCCTAGGAGGGAGTTTAAGCATAGGTCTAATAACTCACAGACCTGGATCTAGTACTAGTTTTGCAATTTATTGACTACATTAATTTCTAAGCCTGTGTGAAAGCTGTGGTGTCTCTCATGATGTCATTTCATGGTGCTTATACTAATTATCCCATGTTCATAATCAGTATCTTCGTTTAGAGCAGTTAAGAGTATCCTTTTATCTTCCTATGTCTATGTGGGTGAAAGAAAAGAGAAAAAGGAAATGGAAGGGTACTGAGATCAATTTATGATTGTGATGTTTATGAAATAGCTGAAAACTAAAAGCCTGCAAAGTTAAAGAAGAGGGGCCACATTTACTGAAAGGTGAATTACTTGAGACAGAGGTATTAATGTGAACAGAATTTTGGCATGTGCCTTATAGCTAAGGAGTAATCATTCCAATAAAGCGTAACAAAAACAGAAACATTCTTCTAGGATTAGCTCATTGATTAGATGACGTATCCAAAACTTTAATAGAAGCCATGCATTTTCATTTAATTACATTTCACTAATTAAATTTAAAAATCCACATGACTGTGCAGTAAAGATATGGCATTTTGTATGCCCAGTATCAAAAACAAGGTATTTGAAAAGCGGGTCTCTGTTTTTAAAGAGTAGGAGATGCTGAGTGTGATAATACATGCGTATAATCCCAGCACTTGGGAGGCTGAAGCAGGAGGATCACTGTGAATTCAAGACCAGCCTGGCCTACACGGTGAGTTCAAAGCCAGCCTGAGCTACGTAGTGAGACCCTGTCTCAAAAAAATAAAGAGAAAAAAGAAAGAGTGAGAGATGATATTTTGTAAATTGAAAAAAACTCAGAGTTCTTTATTCAGCAAAAAGGGTCATTGACTCTTATGGTCAACAGAAATGCCTTTGTAGCAGAACTTTTAAAAAACACTACATAAACATGGACTTAAAGTTAGATAAACACAACACTATGAATTTTATATTATAAATAAGTTAGGCATAAAGGGCAAAGAGGGTCGCAGATGAAATTTAAAGAAATTCGGAGGTCTATATCTCCCATTATCTTTTTATTTTCCTTTAAGATGGCCACACAGGGAATAATGTCTTTAAAGACTGCTGTGTCTCAGGATATTCCTCCAAATAAACCAAAAGAAATGTTATAATGAGACTGCTATGAAGCAGCTCTGAGCAGGATTTAGTATTAACCAATTGGCTTTCCATGTTTACTTGTGAGTCACTGGTCCTGTTGTGGTTTAGGGGATATTGCAAGGGGAAACATATATAATACAGGACACATAATACAGGACAATATAATACAGGACACATATTTTATAAATTATTTATAATAGTCACCCAAAGAATCATAGACAAGAGAGTGCAGGAAATCTGTCCACACACTATATCCAGCTGAGGGCCTGAATCCCGCAATAATGTTCTGCATGAGTCCGGCTGAAGGCTTAGAGCTCATAACAGTGCCTCCCACGAGTCCATCTGGAGGCCTAGAGCCCATAACATTATCTCATGCAGGTCTGTTTCACGGATCTGCGCTGGGAAGGCCCAAAGGTCAGCGGTGAAATCTAGAAGGTCTGTGCCATCAGGATGAAGGATCTATGCTAGCAGGCTGAGGGATCTGCACTGGAGCCAGGAAGCAATGAGTAAAGTAAGAACCAGAGCTCCCCCGAAATGTACTACAGCCATCCTCTGCATCACTGAGGTCCTGAGCTGCTCCGATGGTGAAGACAGCTGAATTCCCATTAGGAAAGCCAACACAGCAAGCTTCTCCCAAGAGACTGGCAGTGCACCATCTTCCCTTCTGGAGCCAGGAAGCGATGCTCAGAGTGAGGACCAGAGCTCCCTCCAAGTGAACGGAAACTATTCTCAGTGCCAAAAAGGTCCCGAGCTCTTAGGGGGATGAAAACAACCAAGTTCATCAGGAAAGCCAGCATGACGAGCTCCTCCAACAGAACCAGCAGCTCCTTACAGCTTCCACCAGTTCCCATCAGCTTCCCCAGGTCTGCCTCTTAGGCTGCTGGCAATAGTCCTCAGGTGGGCCTCCCACACCAGCACCACACCTACTCAGTTCCTTTGGGGGTTACAAGTTGACCACCAGTTGTCAATCTACTACAGGTCCCTACTGAGGCCTATAATGGTAGGTGATGCCATAAGGCCTCAAAGGACAAGACAAGACCACTGCTGAGGACCTTTGGCTCCAACCCCAATTAACTAAAAGAACACTGTAGCTGCAGGCATCTCACTCCTGAGGTGAAGGCCTTCCTGGAGATAACATAGTTCTCCAAAATTAACATAATGTATTACCTAGAGAAGTCCTTAAAGGGATTCCAAAGTCCTGCCCAGATTCCTGCATTTTCTTCAGTATCCCCCTGCTTTGTGTGAAAACCGAATAAATATAGGCCGCTCAGGGAAGTTTTTCTGTCAACCCAGAGAACCTCAAAGTCTGCAATATAATTGAGTCCTCCTGGAGCCCTGAAATCATTTCAATTGTCTCATTTATTTAAGCCTTCCCATCCACTCATTTGAGAGACTGCATGCCTAATCAGTCTGCAGTAACTAAGGGTTATTAATGTAATAATAATATTTAGGAAAAGAAAAGTAGAACAAAGTTATTAAATATTAAGAGAAAAGCATCTCGGGGCTGGGGATTTAGCTCAGGGGTAAAGCGCCTGCCTGGCAAGCGCAAGGTCGTGAGTTCGGTTCCCGGTACCTGAGAAAAACCAAAAAAAAAAAAAAAAAGTGTCTCAACTATTCTAATGATTTTGGATTATTATGTACTTTTAATCTTTGTCTTAGAAAAATTCATTTGTGTGATTTATTTATCTAGGGGTCTAGAAATGGATCAAAGTCCAAAAAATTGCAGTAAAAGTGAGAAAAATAATATTTACCTAAACTGAAAGGTTTCCAATTTGTAAACTCCAATTCTGTTCTCTTAGGTTTCTTAAAGAATTGGCTGAAGTCACCACAAGCCACTAACAATTATCTCGAGCCCTGAGGAGGCTGGCCAGATGCCAGGGTTAGGTTGTAAGTGCTTAAAACGCAAGGGGAGAAAATAACAATGTTAGAAGCTATGGATTCATAGCATCGACTACATAATGCAGAAAATATTGATATATACTTCAAGGAAATAGATTTGCAACCATTTAGAACTTGGATTAGAAAAGAACAAAAATAATTTTAAACAGTTTAAAAGAAACAGCTCTTTAATACTAATTAAAATGAACATAATAATTATTTATAAGTTTTTACACTTGATCATGAGATACAGTGATTTATAGTTTAGAAAGTATTTTGCTTTGTTTCCAAAGCCCAAAGAACCAAGATACATTAACAATGCTGTAAGACTAAATGTTTGGTATCCTTTTTGATACTAAATCTGTTAGAAACCTCAATGTAGTTAATAAAAAGAAGCTCGTTTAGTACTATCAAGTTACCATTTCTTTAGATCTTTGGTGTTTCTTATTCTTTCGCAGCGCTGGGGACCAAAGCCAGCCCTCGGCATGTGTTCGGCAAGCACTATCACTGCGTTCCATGCGAGCCCTTTAAGACCTTTGCAAAACGTTTGTCTTCGTGTTCCTCTCCTAGAGAACTGCTGTAATTCCTGGCCCCCTTCTAACAGGTTTTCCCCTGCAAAGACATTTGCAGTCTGTGTACTTTCGGGAAGGAACTCTCCGCGGACTCTGCCGCCCCCGCCCTGCCCGGAGTCGCCCCTCACCCTCTTGATGCAGTCCTCACTTCGCGCTCCCAAAGCTAAGACACAGCCTGGACTGCCGGATACGGAAAATTACCCCAATCACTCCAGGGAAAGTGATTACTTTTGGAGAACACTGAACAAAAACTAAACAGTAACCTTCCTGACACTGTAGCAGAAGTCCGAATGTTGATCTAAAAAATGAGATGGTTTTATAACCTGACTTGGAGGATTCAGTTACAGACGAGGAAAAATTTGTCACCCTGCGACGGAACAGAAAAGTCTTAGATGAGTAAAGCACAGAAAAGGACGGCATAAATTGTCTACAACACACTGAGTTAAAAACAGGAGGTGGATGTGTAAGCTCCAGAAACAGGTGAAAAGGAGGGGCAGCACGTGCCTGGGCCGGGCCGGCTGCTCCATAGTCGTTGTGGACGGGGAGTGGGACAGGGAGGACAGGGGGGCCGGGACGGGGAGGGGGACGGGGAGGACACCGAGGCTGGCCCTGTGCAGGCTCGCTGGGGCGGAGGCGGCCGCGGCAGGGTGGGGGAGGGTGGGGGCGTTGGGGAGGGTCAGCGCTGCGCTCTCGCGCACCGTCTCAAGATTCCTCAGATTTACACTTTATCTGTCGCGCGTGCTTGTTTCCAAAGTCAGTTGACTTCCTTCTATTACTGTGCAACCCGGCTCCTCAGAAAACTGAAACTAGGAATCCCACTGCAGCAGCTGTTCCCTTTCCTTCTAGCTTTCTTCCTGAGTTACAGACGTCATAGCACAGTGATCCGTACACAGCCGCGTTTATAGCAGCATAGCTCATAATAGCTAAATGTCCATCGTAAACAGTAAGTATTCCTTCACAGATGAATGGATAAAGAGAATGTGGTACTCACACATGATGGACTACTACTCAGCCGTGAAAAGGATAATTTCCAGTCATTTGCAGGAAAATGGGTGCAGCTTGAGACCATATGCTAAGTGAGATGAATTGTTTTTCTTTTCCTTTTATTGCCTTAAATAGCACATTACTTCATTAGGGCCAATGTAAGAAAATACCTAGCGTAAGTGGCACAGTTCATTTTTTCCATTCCTGATGCTAGAAGTCCGAGGTCCAGGAGCCCAAGAGGCCTCTCCGTGGCTGTAGGCTGATGTCTCCGGCCCTCGTTTTCGTGTCTGTTGTCTGCGCTGCTCTGGTCGGCAGCAGTCAGCTGTGTGAGAGGTGGCTCCACCCCCTCTCTGAGGTCGACCTCCACATAGTCACACTCCCAGAGAGGGGCAGTGGGGCTGCAACATGAATTCTCGGGAGACGCAAATTCAGTGCCTAAGCTGGGCGTGGTGGTGCACACGTGTAATCCCAGCACTTGGGAGGCTGAGGCAGGAGGATCAGTGTGAGTTCGAAGTCAGCCTGGGCTACAGTGACCTCTAGACCAGCCTGAACGCCATCGTGAGGCCTTGTCTCACAGAAACCAAACCAAGTAAAAACAAAGCAAAACACAAGTTCCGTGCCTAAAACAGCGCCCTAGTTAGTTGAAGGGAATATCTACAACCCGGAAGAGGCCTTAACAGGCTTTTTATTTTATGTAGTCTGCTGCGGTTTGGCTCCTTGCGTCCTGAGTGTTAAAGGCTCCAGCTTCTGGGACCTGTGGGAGACCATGCCTCGATGCGGCCCGGGCCGCAGAGCCAGGTTCCTGGAGGGATCTGGACGTGGCCTTTCCTCCTCCTCTGTTTCCCAGCCACAGCGTGAGTGGTTCTGCTCCACTGAGAGTGCGGCCTCACCACCACCCAAAAGCAATGGGCCACTGTCACAGAGGAAACCTCCCAGCTGTGACCGCTAACACCCTCTGAGAAGCCGTTGCCTCCGGAGCTGGTAAGAGAGAAACGAGGAGGCGCCATCTCTGAGCTAAGCAGCGGTCCATCCGGTGAAGCCACTGGAGTTCACTTTATGACAGTGATGGACGTATACATTGCTTATCATTGTAAATGAGATCATCACTCAGTGTTCTTTTGAAAACCCAAAATTTAGAGAATGTGGCTAGATCTGAACGTTCACTGTCTTAGTTCTCCTTCAGTAGCCGCTTAACTGCACTGCTAGCGCCCTAACAGAGATAGCTGGTGGGGACACATACGCACAAGGGTTTGGGAGACTCCAAGGGCCTCGTGGGTCATAGGGGTTTTCTGGGAGGAAATCTAGAACCCACAGTTGCACAGTGCTTTTCCAAGGACTGCAAGGAAGCTTGCCTGCATTTATGATGGTGGCAGAAGCAAGGCGAAATGAAGGAGAAAGGATGGGTTTATTGCATAAACCGAGCCAAGTTACTTTTCTGAATTACTTATCTTAACGTGATCTGCAGGCAGACATTTGTCAGACTGCAGCCACGTTAGTTTAATGTTTTCATGAATGATAAACCTTCCAATGACCTCTAGCGGAGGACAGTCTCTGTATTAATTGAAACTGTACCCCACGCTGCCACTGCAGGAGCAGAGCGTTCATTTCAGGGACCCACTGGTGGACACGTGGTTCCCTTTTCCGGGGCTCTTCCAGCCCCGTTGGCTTGGCTGGGTAACTGAGTCATGGCTCCACCGCCTGGTGTGCACGGCTGACCGCTGTGCTTCGCACCTTTAGTGCGTTTTGTCCTGTGGCTAATAGCATGCTTTTAGTGAGTAAAACTGTAGGCTATTGTGATGGACGTTTCTGTAAATTGAGAAGATTTTTCATGCCAATATTTTCATGATGAAATTCCTAAAGGACTGCACCTCAGAATAAACTCAACATCCTGCAAGGACAGTGAGCCTAAGAATCTTCAAAAAGGAAACCTGAGTTTACATGTTAACAAAGTGAAGAGAAAACTCACCCTAAACACACCTCAATTTCACCATCTTCCTGAAGCTCCCATAGAACAAAAATGAAATAAAGACAAAAGCTGTCAACGCGGCGAAGAGATAAAGACAGCGAGTATTTTGGCAGAATTCCTGTAGGAGGCAAGGCCGCTGGGCAGCGGTGGGCACGGTGGAAGTTACCGCCTGGCTGCTGACTGGGGCATCTCTGCAGGAAGTGTGTCTCCCCCTTGCTCCTCCTGTCTGCTTAGTTTGTTTGTCGTGCAGAAACCTGGAAAGGTTTGGGGCTGAAGACATCGGGAACTTGGGGTGTTGGTGAAGCCCGCAGAGGCGAGGTCCCCAGAATCTGTCTTTGTTTTCCTTTAAGCTGAAAACAAATTTGAGAAATTAAAACCATGTCAGTGACACTCCCATTTTGGCTTTGCCCCCTAAGGCCGTCAGGAGAAATTCCAAAGACCCAAGTGTCTGAGCAGAGAGCCCTCATCACTGCGCTGCATCCCAGGTCTTCACAGAAGGCTGAGTAGGCAGAGGCGGGACTCCTAAGCTGAAGAAACCTTTGGGGTTCCTGGGTAGCTGGCTGAATATTGCAGACAGCTGTCTGCAGGGTTGGCCGATCTAAAGTGGGTGGATAGCAGTAAAGAACAGACAAAGGTAACAAGATATTATTGCTCCAAGATATCATTTTCAAATCTACCTCAGGCTTCTTTTGTACTGTCACCAGGAAAATGTTACAAAGGTGTTGCTACATCATCCTATACTAAAACTGACCAAAGAAGAGAAAGAAAATAGAAATCCATCCATGAAATGATTTCATTAAAGTGATTACTTTTAACCACTTAAAATTAATGTGTGCGTCAAGTATTGTGCTATTTTCACAAATATTCATATTTAATTTTCTCAAGAACCTTCTCAAGAACTTTCTGAGGTGTACATTATTACTTTTTATCAAATGAGAGCCAAGGATGTACACAAAGTCATATTAATAACTGGTTAAGCCAGAAGTCAAATCAAAGTTCTAGGACTCCAAGGAATGTCAGATTTTAGTACCTTAGCTACAACTGAAAATATAACCCAACAGGATTTCTCCTGGGCAGCGAATGGGAGAAGCAGCCCGGCTTCCTGTTTGTGTCTCATGTTTATTTGGATCAATTTTTGCACGCCCACAGTTTCGTCTGGGTGTCTGTTCCTTTGTGACAGTTTCTCAGAAGCATTGTCGCTTTGTAGGTCTGTCTACTAGTAAATCAAGGATGCCAGAAGCTTGTCTGAGCCTTTTAGCCAGAGGTTTTTTTTTTTTGGTCATTTTTTGAGACAGGGTCTCACTATGCAGTTCAGGCTGGCCTTGAGCTCACTTTATAGCCCAGGCTTGTCTTGAACTTGCAACGATCCCCCTGCCTCAGCCTCCCGAGTGCTGAGATTACAGGTGTGTGCCACCACGCCTGGCTTTTAACTAGAGTTTTTATACTTAATAAATAATGCATGTTTTTCTCCCTCAAATTAAAAATCTTTATATTTTCTAATTTAAAAACTTGCCTGTTTTAGTTTCATGTAAATGATTTTAAATGATCATAATGTAAAATTTTAGCCATCTACTCAGATCAGACCAGTGCATTCTGGGTGAACTTCTGTTCTTCAGTAAATTGTGCTTAGTGTGTAGCATGGGCTGGTGCTTCTGTCTGTGTTGACACTTTGATATCTATGTACTGGTATTATGCTGCCAATTATAACTTTTCATGAGTGATAAGCCAAACTTAGCTCCTGATAGTTTAAAATATTTACCTATTATTATATACTTTTCAAAAATGATACCAACATTTCTGTGTTTCATTTCCTAGAATTTTGGGGAAACTTGTGCTCAAAATTAAAAATAATTTAACATATTAATCTATGCAAGAAATGAAAACATACAAGACTAATTTACATTTTAAAATAGTAGTGCAGGTATGAACCCTTATGATCTACGTTCATGTTGAATGAGGCTAGATTAATACCAGTCATAAGCAGGAAATTTAAGTGCTAAATTGAAGTACTAAAGTATGAAATTTAAGCACCAATTTTAAGTACAAAGTTAATTATTCCTTAAATTAATGAATCAGGTAGTGTTTTAATTAGGGCAACCAACATATTAAAGTAGATTACTTTCTGCAAGTTGAATGATACACATTAGGCTTTTCATTTTTTTTATTTTTATTTTTTTATTTTAAAGAGTAAAAGAAGGATAACATAATAATGGGGGGGGTTACCAAATGACAAACAAAGTGGTAGGAAATTATCAATGGTTATTGTTTTACATATTGTTATCTACAAGATAGTTTCTCAGGATAACATAATAATGGGGGGGGGGTTACCAAATGACAAAGTGGTAGGAAATTATCAATGGTTATTGTTTTACATATTGTTATCTACAAGATAGTTTCTCAGGAAAACAAATAGACAAATAATAGTGAGTTACAGACAAAAGAGGTAGGAGACCATCAATAGTTGTTGTACTATACTTTGGTATCTTTAAAGTGGCTTCTAAAGCAAATAAATAGAGCTATACATGAGTGACCTATTGAAAAATCATTAACTATTCTCAATGGTTGTTGTAGGAAACACATAATAATAGACATACATCCATTTACAAAATAGGATAGGAACAATACAAACATTACAGAATTATGGATAGATTAGGAGGAAAATATCAATGGCTGCTGTAATACATGGTGGTATCTTCAAAGTGGTTTCTCAGGAAGACAGATACACAAGAAGGATCTAACAAGTAGTTACAGCCTAAGGGTTGTCAAAAATAGCATATTACCTCCTCACCAGTGCTTCCTGTCACTGAGGTATGATGGCTGGAAGGAAGGTCAGGATTGAACAGAAGGACCGAGAGACTTGCACCTGTGTCTAGCAGCAGGCTCTTTTCTTGTTCCTCCATAGTCATGATTACCCAGGGCTCCTCCATGGAGATGACGGTCTGGCCAGAGGGAGAAGCAGAGTATGCCCCGGGCCCCCTCATTCCTGTTGGACTAACTGGTAGGATGGGTCTGAGCTATGGGGCCTCTGCTTCAAAGAGCAGACCAATCTCCAGTGGTCACCTTTCCTCTTGAGGTGGCCTGGCTTTTAACAGTGGTAGCAGATGAATGCAGTCGTCGAGTTCTTCTTGGGGCCCCGGGAATCAGACTTGGGGTCTGTTTCTCTTAGTGCTACAGCAAAAGCAGCTGTTTTTTTCTCGGTCTCTTTGTTTTCTTTCCTTGACCTCCTCCTCATCATGGCTATAGAGTACTGAGGAGGCAATTCTTACTTACATCTCTTACATCTCAAGTGAGCCATCTAGGCTTTTCAAATTGTAGTCAAATATACTACTACACATTTATTTTCAAAGAATTCTGGTGAGGCACAGAAAAATACTATGTAAAAAAAAGCATAATTCTTTTTGAGAGTTTTTAGTATACAGAGATCTTTAATTCATGAGATTTTTTTTTTACTTGTGTATATACATATTGCTTTATTTACTGATTTACTGGGAAGCATGATTTTAGTTGGAAAAATTACCTGCAAAATTATTTTATAACAGAATATTGTGCTTTGACTTTAATAGAACTATTGTAAAAAAAATAATGTGATAAAGCTAGAATATTGAGACTTTCTTTTCCTTGCTGCTAAGGCTGACAAGGAAGTTACCACTGAAGGAAAGTAAAGTAGGGAGAAAGCATAGATTTGTGGAGGCCCAAGGCAGAGTCAGCAACCTGTCCCCACTGGAACCCCTGCCAGGGACGCGCAGGCTGGGCGGGCGATGTGGTCAGGGCCGGGAGACAACACATCGTGCTCGTGCTTCCATCGCTTCATTGTCGTGGCTCTGCTTTCCCAGAGGCTGCTGTCACACAGCCTGTGGGCCCCCAAATAAATGAGATTTAAGGTAGACACACCGCTGCTGTATTTCTTGATTGTCTCCCCCGTCTGTTAATGACACATTGGTTTGCAGCAGTAGCGGCATCTTCCGCTGAGTTATAATAAAAGTGCTCTTTCACTGTTTTGTTAGTGAGGTCAGGGAGAATTTTCATAACTTGTGAAATAAATAATGTAAAATGAAAAACATACTTACTCTGTGCTAGTATAAAATTTAACCAAAATGAATTTTGTTGATTTTATGAGACAAGCGCTATATCCAAAATAAATGTGCCAGGAGTGTTTGCATGATGAGATACTTCAAGTATAATTTTATTTTTCTTCTTAGCTCAGACGGGAGCAAGCCTTCCCCAAGCATGTTTTAAAAATAAACAAAATTACAGTAGCTCTTTCTAGTATGTTCATTTCTTCAGAGGTTTACTAGGAATGAGAGAGAAAAACCCTGGAGAAAGATAATGAGCCCCAGCTGGAAAGCAGTTCCAGGCCGCTCAGTGAGTCTTTCCTTTAAAGACACAGATAATGAGGGTAGGAGACAGTTGTCTCATTTGGAAGAATAACTTGCGAAGACCAAATCTCCGGAAGTTTCCACTTGCAGAAGTTTTGAAAACAGGCAAGTCGTCATTCCTCTAGCCCTCTGGTGCCAGGCAGGTGCAGCCCGGGTGTTTTCAGCAGAGCTCAGAGTGGCTGAACCCCGCAGTCCCAGGGGTGCTTGTCACCGGTTACTGGTGAAGAAGCTATTTCAGGAAGTGTTATTTCAGGAATCTTTGCAACTTCTTTGGTGTTAAAATAGCAATTTTAAGAGGCAATGACGTAAAACCAGACTGTAGTTGTTACTTTTAATGTCCTCACTTAACAAAATAAAAAATTGACAACCTTTAAAATTTTTCTTTTCACCTTTTTCCTTGAAAACGTTTTTGTTTGTTTTTTGAGACAGGGTCTTGCTATGTAGTGCAGGATGGCTTTGAACTTACTGTGTAGCCCAGATTGGCCTCGAACGCAGGGTGATCCTCCTGCTTCAGCCTCCTTAGTGCTAGGATTACAGGTGTGCAACACCATGCCTGGCCTCTTAAAATTTTTCTGGTTCGTGGTGCCCCCATATCAGTGATCACTGTTTTAACAGAGCTTTTGACTTCCCACAAATACTTACTGGGCTTAAACACAGTTTGTGAACAATCACACTTTCCAGAAAGAGTTTAGGGTCTAGACAGACACAAAGGAAGCCTGAGTGGGGCAGCGCCTAGAGGGGAGGGGAGGACAGCAGGGAGCTGCGAGCAGGGCCCGACCGCGGGGACTCAGGCGTCAGCGCGTGCGGCCGTGGGAAAGTGGGGAGCCTGGCCTGGACCGCGGCGCTGACCTTGCACCTGCCGAACCCAGCCGGACGCTGCTCTGCCCTCCTCCGGCTGCCGGCCAGGACGTCTTCTGTCTGTCTCTCTCTTCAGAAATGTCTTTCTGGTGCTCCTCCAGAGGGAGAGGCGGTTGGGCGGAAAAGTGGGAAGGGGGAGTCTCATCTCTCTGGCTTTGGTTTTCAAAACGCTTCGGTGCTCGGTTCTCTCTGTGCAAGCGGCGACTCTTCCCTGACCTCTCTGCGCTGGGCACCGAGCATGGGGAAGTGCTCGCTTCAGAGCGTCCTGGGCCTGGAGGCCTGGGCGCAGCCCTTCCCGCTGCGGAGCCAGGGCCTCGTGGGCTGGCTGCCTGGCCGGGGACCCGCGCAGCGCGTGCGGGGTCGGGGGCTCCACGGCACTTGTGTTCCGCATCTGCAGTCAATTACATACTGATGAGGGAAAGCACTGATAAAATTTAGCTTGCTTAAGTTTATTGACAACCATCGGAGACAGCATGGCAACGTGCCATTGAAGTATCAAGAGGCATTCTGAGCACAGTGTCCAGACTTTCTCCCACTTCATGGAGATCTTGTGCTCTAAATTTTAGAAATAATGTACAGTATTCGGCCATGTGTTAAACAGAAGGCAACCAAACTGTCCCTGAGGTGTTCTCCTTTACAAGAGAGATGCTGGGAGTCGAGTGATTTCTGTGCGTCAGCCACCCAGTGACTTCTGAGTTTGTCTCGACCCCTGCCTCGAAGCAGTAGCCCCTCACCTAAGTGTGGAGCTGTGCGTGCTCTGCTCAGCAGAGAGGAATAGTGGCCATGGAGATGCGACAGCCATCTCGCCAAGAACGAGAGCCTCGTGCAGGTGCCGGCAGACTCCAGCAGTGAAAACCTCTGGATTTATACAGCTCGAGCTGGGCAGCCCCAGGGGCAGCTCCACCACTGACAGCCTGTGGGTGGACGGACATGGGGTTTCCCCCACCCAACACCTTTCTCTTACAGGTGTCAGATACACGTCATGGCCTAAGGGGGTGGTGGCAAAGCCATGGCATGCTTGTTCCAGTGGGCTGTTTGTGTCACTGAAAGCCCTAGCAGGTTTGCCATCGCTGGAAAGCTCTCTCTGCCAAATCCTGATTTCTTTCCGTTTTCTCTTCTAATAAGCATTTTACACTTTTTTGGGGGTGGTACTAGGGATTGAACTCAGGCCTTGTGCATGCTAGGCAAGTGTTCTACCACTGAGCCACATCCCCAGTCGTGTTTTACACTGCCAACACCACTTCCACACCAGCTTCCTGGCAAACAGATGATGCAATCAGTAGTTCCTGACTGTTACATCACCTGGTATCTGAAAGAGTGTGTCAGAGTGTTTGGGGAAGTTATTTAACCTCCAACTTACCTAGCAAGTGAAATTGGTATAAAAATTAAATAAAATAATCCAGAAAAAGCAATCTCTTTAATTCCTAGTACACAGTAAGTACTCAATAACTAGTACATAACATTAACAATATTATTTTCATCTCTGGTGGTATAGGCCTGTAATCCAATCACTCTGGGAGAATGAGGCAGGAGAATTGCAAGCTCAAGTCCACCCTGGGCAAATTAGTGAGATGAGACCTGTCACAAAATTGTTAAAAAAGGGGATGTAGCTCCATGTGAGGGCCCTGGGTTCGATCCTCAGTACCACAGAAAAAAATAATTATGCCAGACTGAGAGATTTTGTGTTTGTTCCTTATAATGCTGTTCCTTATTATAATCAGTGTATTAGTTTTCTCTTGTTGCTGAGACAAAATAGTCAGTCCCAGAATTAAAGAGGGAAAGGTTTATTTAGCTCACAGTCTGTGGAGGTTTCAGTCTGTACTCAGCTGGCTCCAAGGCAGGGTGGCACATGGCAGAGGGCAACAGTTCAAGATGGCAGAAGATGGCAAAAGCAGCAAGAGCAAAAGGGAGAAGCGGCAGAGAGCAAGCCTCTCTCTCCCTTACACTGTGTGCAGGCTGCCTGCCCCAGGCGGGTGCAGCACTCACACCCCTAATCCCAGCACTGGACCATGAATGAATCACAAACTCTAGAACCCACCCCATGACTGCATGAGGCTTTGGGGGACATGCAGACACAAACCATAACCATCAGCAGGTATTATCATGCTCATTTCACACTTGAGGAAACTAGGTAGGGTTCAATAAATAGCATGCTCTAGTTCTTTTATTACACATAGCTAGAAGGTATAACCCAGCCCTAAAGCCAGCAAGCTCCATAGGAGAGCAGCTGACACAGAATCTTCTGCCATTTCTAGAATGTAAAGGAGCTGCACAACCTTTTGATAGCTGTGAACAATGTGTAATCAATGCAAACTTTTGCAGGAATGCTCTCATAAATGTAAGTCTTTCACCAAATGCATGGCATTAGAATGTATTTGAAACTAAACACTTATCTAAAAGTTAGAAAAGCAAAATCTAATGCCACTATTCCTCCCTGGTGAGTACTGGTCAGTTTTTTTAGTTTCTGTTCTGATTAGTACATGTTCATGATACATAAGCACTACCTCCATTGTGGGGAGCCTGCCCCGCTTCCTCCACCCCCATCATCCCCCAAACATCTCCATGGCCCACTGTTTTTGCAGAACGGTCCTTCATTTGGGGTCGTCTTGATGTTTTTGCATGATTGGATTGAGCTTACATTTAAAAAATTCATAATACTGCTATTGCTAGAACAACTGGGTTAACTGAAATCACACACCCCTGCAAAGGGCAAACACTGGAGTGCAATATTTACAGATTCCAAATAAATGTGCAAGAGAAACAGAATGGACAGATGGAAGTTATATCACACTGCTGAAATAATTTCACTTTGGATTAAATAGCAGCTTTTTGAAACATATACTGTTCTTTGCCTTACAGTTTTATAATAATTTTAAGTAAAATTTTAAATTATTTTATATAAAATCAAAAATCTTGAAACTGCATTATTTCCCCAGGAGTGAGGCAGAGATACATCACTGGGTTGGCAGGATGGATTTAGGGGTGGGCAGACTTCTTAGCTTCTGTCAGGAAACAGTCTTCCGTCCAAGTAGGGCTGACAAACCATCCAGCGTGGAGAAGGCACAGGGTTTCTGACCTGAAGATGAGAGTTCATGCCCCATGTGGCTGTGGGCCTGCAAGCTAACTTTAGCCAAGAGTGGGAAGCATTAAAGAAGGATAAACTTGAGTCACGTGTAGGGAAATGAATGCAGCAAGAGACCATACTGTTAAGTGAAATCAATCAGACACACAAGTGCAAATATTGCATGCTTTCTCTTAAATAAGAAACCCAAAGTACAAATGATTTAAAGAGGAAAGTAAAAGCTAGTTATTACTAAGTAGGGAGATATAGCCCCAGCAGATGGAAGGGGACAAAGAGTTGCAGAGAGAGGAGGGGAAGGGGTCATAAAAGAAATAAGATGTGTCATGTAATGTGCCGCTTCCCCATGATCAATGCCATTATGTACAGCAACCATGTACTAATAAACAGAGACACAGTGGTCCGCGTGAGTGTTGAAAGGAAAAGATTACCAGTAAAGAGAATGGCATATGGCCTGGTGGCCAGAGAGAGGAGCTCCTGCTAGAGATGTGAGAGGGTGATTTAGGCACTTCGCAGGTGAAACACTGCTACCCAGCCACCAAGAATGAAAATTGTATTAGTAACAGAGTAACATGAAATTGTAACACATGTATGAGCTAACAGTGTGTTTTTACAAGTTTGCCATAAAATAACTTACTTATCGGGAACAAGTAGGATTTTTAAAAGTTTCAGTAGAGAATTAAACAGGGTGTGGTGCTGCACACCTGTAATCTCAGCACTCTGGGAGACTGATGCAGGACTTTATAAGTTCAAGCCCAGCCTGGGCAACTTACTGGCTTAGCAATACCCTGTCTCAAAATTAAAAGCGGGCTGGGGATGTTGCTCAGTACAAAGGCCCTGGGTCCAATGCCCAGTGGATGTTTATGAGAAATACATTTTCACACAAGGCATGTTACACTTGCATAGGTGTGTGGACCTGAACACTGCGGGGAAGCTAAGTAAACACTGCTGGAAAAAGTGGGCTCCTAAGTGTGGTTCTAAGTCCCCTATAGGAACTGCTCTACTTCATCGCCATGAGATGAGGCTGGGTCTGCGTCTCCTCCCCTCTTGTGACCGGGGAACAGAGGGCAAGTGACCGGTTTGTGAATCCTCTTGTGAGAGATCCCAAATGACCTCACTGGCAGTGTTTCCCAGAGACCCTCCCTTGTTTCTACCACAGACGTGAAATGTGTGGTTGGCACACTCAAAAATGGACACATTGCAAATGACAGCAAACTTGAAAAAATCCAAAGTGCCAAAGTCCACAGTTGAGCCACCAGGGGGGTGTAGGCTTCCGGGGTCTGAAGAACTGGAGCCCGTAATATAATCGCGGACACACTAGTTTTCTCTTGAGCATGCTTGAGGAAGGAAAGTTTTATTAGACATGTGAAATGTTACAGTCCACACAGTCACTTCCAGAGTCCTGGTACTGTTAGTGAAAAATATTAAGAGAATTGTCAGTGACAAAATTGGTGACAAAATTGGTGACAAAATTGCCGTTTAACAGATTTTGTTATAAATATTTCAACTTTATGATTTAACAAATCATCTCCATATGATTAACCATCTCTGTTATCTATTTGTGGCAAGAATTTTGGCAAATAATTTCACTTTGGGGCCTCAGATTGGGAGATATGTACACTGTCCATTAGTGTTTTTAAAATTATGGCTCTTGATCCTGTTGGTGCATCACACTAGTGTTCTCTGAAAAGAAAATGGAATTCACTAACTTTTTAGAAAATATAGAGGACAAGACACTGGAAAAGTAGTCTGTAAACTTTCTGCTTCACGTATCCTTGGGCATACTGTGTGACAATGGGAAGTGCCTTCCTTAGTAGGAGTTGTAGGTAACAGAGTTGGGAAATTATTAATCTACAGAATCAGAAGTCTGTTCTGTCTGTAAAATGAAATCACTCTTTGCACTTTAAAAATTGTGAAAATAACTTCTTTCAACTCTGTGTTGTGCAGCTTATTGCTTGGTAGAGCATAGTAGCTAGCTAGAAGGACATTTAGTTGAAGTGATTACATTGTATTTATTCCTTCAATTAGTTGTAACCTTTAAAATCCATTGCAATTTTTAAGACACACCTTTTTGGGCTATCCCACTCCGCTAAAAACAACCTAAGAAAATGTCAGGCATCAATAACTGAGTGCATTTCTGGGTGTCATGGTGCATGCCTGTCATCTCAGCCCTTGGAAGGTTGAGGCAGGAGAATCACTCTGAGTTTGAGGCCAGCCTGCATCTCTAAAGTGAGATTTTGTCAACAAACCAACCTAAATTCCAATCAATTTAACGTGAATATTAAATGTCTCTGGTATGTAACATACTGTGGTATGAGGCCAGGAGACAGAAGAATGAATAAACATGATCCTTGTATTCATTCAGTTTGTAATTTTAAAGAGAGCATTGGGTGTGAAAAGAAAACATCCTATCCCTAACCAAACAATAGAATTTATGTGTGCAGTTATAAAATATTATCCTTAATACTCACAAATACAAGGCATTGTTTTATCTACTTCTTTTACGCAACAAACATTTGCTGTGTGGCAGGTATTTTTCCAGGTTGGATGCTGGTAGGCTGAAATGACATGGTCTGTATTCTCACAACTTTTTTATGGTAGTAAAGATACAGGAAATGAACAAGTAGACAAGAAAAACACCAAATAGTGGTGTTACAATGAGGCGAGGCATCGTTCCAGTCTGTATCTGGACAGCCCCTCAAAGCCTCACCACTGCCAGGAGAGGCTTTGGAGAGGCGATGGGGTGGTGAGGGTGTGGTGTTCATCATGGGTTCCTGCACTGATGGGTTTACAGCTAAATGTGGTGTTGGGAGGCAGAGCTTGGTGGAGGATGCATTACTAGGGCGTGGCCTGGGAGGGTCCGTGTCCCTCCTCCTCCCTTGATCCCTCTGGCTGCTTCCTGTCTGCCTTGGCATGAGCAGCTTCTCCTCTGTGATGCTCCTCTGCCATGCGGCCCTGCCTTGGAGCCAGCCAGCTATGGACTGTGGGCCAAAATACACCTCTATTCCTTTAAGTTGTGGGTGTCAGGCATTGCGTCTCAGTGGTGAGAAAGTAGGGGAGACAGGCATTAGCTAGAGGCTGTTTTGTTGTTTTGTTTTGTTTTTATTGGATCATCAGAAAAGGCCCCTCTCTGTTTAAAGTTGAGATATGACAAAAGCAGGATGTCACTGCACGCCCGGGGGAGGAACAGGGGGCAGATGCCAGGCCTGCACAGCCAGGAGTTTGCAGGTTAGAGAACTGGACGAGGGAGCAAGCAGGAAGGCAGAGGAGCAGGAGAACCAGCCTGAGGGGGCCCTGTGAGCACGGTGAAGATCTCCAGCATGTTTTCACTGTCACAGGCCCCTTTGAAGGCTGTGAGCCAGGGACTTCTGTGGTCTGATTTCTTTTTAAGACCAGTACAGCCACAAGAGCGAACCAAAGCTGGCGAGAAGACCATTTAGGCAACAGATGACTGCGGCTGAGGTTAAGGTAGAAGCAGTGACGACGGATGATGTAGGGAAGCGCTAGAGCTGAAACACGGGCTTTGCTCATAGGCTGGTGCAGGCAGGACGGAAGGGAACCACGGCCACTCACAGCTTCAGCGCGGGCTGCAGGGAGGTTTCACCAGCTGTGAGGGGGAAGCCAGGGGTCCGGGCAGTGGGGCCGGAATCCGGGCTGTGCGTGCTCACCGACGTGCAGGCCGCGAGCACGGAGCAAACCTGCGGCCGCGGCAGGCGGAACCGGGGGCAGCAGACAGCCACGGGGGAGCACGGATCCAGCCCGGCCCGGGCGAGGGGCGCCCTCCCTCCTGCCAGCAGCTGGAGGCGGGTATTTTTGTGTCACACCGATGCGCTCAGCTTTTTACCTGGACAGCGACGGTGCGAAGGGCGGGCTGGATCCAAGCCTCGCGGACCCTCTCTACCGCGCCGCGCCGCTTCTTGGGCGACTAGGAGAACGTGCGGGCTTCTGAACGGCGTATTTTGAAGACGTCTGAACGAAGGATTTTTCTTTAAAAACACCCTGTTCAGCCTGGGGAGAGTGAAGTTCACGCGGCCTCGGGCCCTCCGCTCCCGCAGGACCTCCCGCCGCGGAGGCAGACCCCTGCCTCGTCTCGCCTGTTTCCACGCTGGCGTCAGCAGTCTGCAGCACGCGGTGTTCACGCGCCTCGCGTGGGGCTGGCGCATGCGCATCGCACAGCTGGCCCCGTTTTCCGGCCGCTCTCTCCCCCCACATCGCGGTCCCACTGAGAAAGACCCCTCTCCGGCTTCCTGCGTCTGCCTTCTTGCTCCGCGCCACGCTTGCGTCTGGCTTGTTCACCGGGCTCCTTGCAGCCCGGCCTCAGCTGACTGCACGGTGCGGCGGCGTACCGCGCCGTGTCCCCCACGCCCGGCCGCGCAGAGGGCGCAGGAGGCCGAGTCAGGAGCGCTCGCGCAGAGCTGGGGGAAGGCGGGCGGCGGGCCTCCGCTCGGGAAGGCTCTCTGCCCCCGCAGCCTCAGGCGGCAGTCCCCTCTGCGGTCGTCGGTCCCCGGGCCCTAGGTCAGTGCTGCAGCCTCTGCGTCCGCCGGAGCTCAGCTTGGGGCCAGGCGAGACCGGGGCCGGCGGTGCCGCGAGGAGGCGCGGGCCCAGGGCGACGGCCTCCGTTCGCTCCGCTCCTCCAGACCCAGCGGGACCGGGCTTCGGTGGGCTCAGACCTCGCAGCCCAGCCGGAGCGCAGAGTACCGCGGGGGAGGCAGCGAGCAGACGCAGGGCTGAGAGGCCCGCAGGCCCC